ACCAAATTTTATACAAAGTTATACAGATATACATATCAAATTTATAACTCCCTTTAAACATCTCAAGCGCCTAGTTACGTAATAAACTTTATTAATTTACGCATTATTCATTATTATTGCTCGATTATTCACACAACTTTATTATGCACACATCATAAGCTGTACATTGGAAATATACATATGGGAATATGGTTCGCTTCACCATAGCATGGCATTTCATTAGCATTTCACTCAATCACCACTTAGCCATATAAACCCTTCATTTGTGGAATCACTTAAACATGCCTTCTAAACAAACACCCCTTTGATTATCAAGATTGACTAATAAATCGGTTATTCGTGATATAATTCGCGCTCACTTGTCGACTTATTTTCGGCTCATATAGCGATTAAAGAGCATCGTTAGTCGTACGCACTTAAATATCATAAGCTTATTGATAAGACTATAATACTCACCGCTTTCACTGTTCCTCTCTCTTTATATATATGTGTATATATATTCACATATAACCCCAACATATACTACCAACTTGCTATGGGGTCCACTTATCAAGTAGTCATTGAGCTGCAAATACAGTCTTTGAGCCACGATTCATTTATTTATTTACAAACAGCCAATAGTCACAGAGCTACAGACTGTGAGCCACAGCTTACTACAAAGGTCACAGAGCTGATATTACAGTCCATGAGCCAAAACTATTACAATGGTCACAGAGCTTTCACTGGTGTCTGTGAGCCATAATTCAATACAATGATCATAGAGTTTCTCCCATTTTTTTTTTTTTTTTTTTTTTTTTTTTTACAGAGCTGGCTTGTCCAATTAGAATTTTAGCTCCTCTACGTTTATAATCCCGGGTGGCGTGGGTGGAACGATAAAGCTGGCCTATCAATAAGGCGAGCAATAGCGAAACCAAAGAGGAAGATCATATACTAACAAATGATCTCTATTTAAATCCGTATTTTCCCTCCATGGGAATTTTCACACACATTCAATCTTTCAAAGAATTCCATTACATCATAGGACTTTCTTTACATGACCTTCCCGAAATATACTTGGTCATGCGTTGTAACGTGACCTCGCAATAATGCTGGCCTTGTCACTTCGTTGACAAGCCAGTCATAGTAATGATAAACACGCTTAATTAATTTTAAATATTTTCCGACTAGTAAAATTTATTCCCCGACATTTTTTGACTCATTGATTGAGGCGCTTGAGAGCGACCATTATGGGATATAAAACTGTTACAGAAAAGGCAATATTACAGTGTAAGTGTATATTGGATGATAGATTAGCGGAAAAACAAAATTTCAGCAGATCGGCCCGAATTATGGGTCGGAATCACCGGCGTTGATTAATTTTGCCCAAGATCACTCAAAATTTTACTAATAAAACCATAGCCCACTCACTAAGTAAAGCTGCCCATATGATTATTTTGGTGTAATACAGTTAGTTGTTGTTATTTCTTAATGCCGGCCTAAATCCGACCCATAATTAGGGCCGATCTGCTGAATTTTTGTTTCTCCACTAATCTATCCTATATTGGATGTTACGCCATGTTGTAAATGGAAATGAGATATATCAGGTTTACATATAACAAACGCTATTTTAAATACTAGAATCCACTTAAATTCTGTTTCTATTTACATAAATCAAAAGTTTACGGCGCACTCAACTATTACGGCACACATCAAGTTTTACGGCACACGCCAAATATTATGGCGCATGTCAAATATTAGTGCAAACGCTAGTTGTGGCTTTTGACGTATCGGCATACCTTCGAGTTACATCTAATTGACGTTAAGTTCAATTACAACACCGGCATATGCCTGCATTTATAGTAAGTATTTACAATTGTCCCCGAACTCAGCGAATATCGATATGCTTTGAAGTACAGTATCATAATGTATCAGATTTAACCTTGCAGAAAATTTTAGGGGAAATATAACGAACAGCAAACACGTTAATTAATGCAAGCAAATGGTCAGCAATAAACTAATCGGCGCAGCATGACCGGCATTTGAGTATAACGGAATTGGTTGCGTACTGTGTCAATATATGTTACCAAAATTTTAATCTGGTGCATTATATCCAATGAATATCAGTGAATTCTCTTATAAATATTCATTCGATATCATTCCAAACCCATATATATTTATTGAATAGCCACAACGGATACTCAAAGGATCACAACTCAATTAATAAAAGTACAGTACCGCACATCTTGCCTATAATTTGGTGAATCGAATTTTTTAACAACAAACAGAGACTTCCAAGTTCAAAAACAACATTATTCTTAAAAGAAATATACAGTAAACTAAAGTGTTATTATTTAATTAGATATGGTTAATTGAATCGTCAACTCAATTAATATGATAAAAGATGAAGATGCATTTATTTCTTTCATTAAGATTTTCACATCAAAAAAGTATGATAAATTATAAAGGTGTAAATATAACATAATAATGAGTTTGTATGAGACCGCACCAGTCGGCCATAAATAAATAAATAAATTATAAAGGTATATAAGTTACGATATAAATAAAAAAAATCAAATTTATATAAATGATTCATTATAAAGAATGGAAAACAGTTTTCTTGATCATACTCAAAAATCTAATTTTTTTAAATATTTTACTAAACCCAATAGATTTTGAACCTACAAAAAATTTACTAAATCAACGGATCTTGAGCCTATAAAAAAATTATAAATTAGAATTATCATATTTTAAATATTCGAATCAAATAAATGGTAATAAAATAAATTATTACCTTTACAAACCATTTTCGTAGAATCTGATGCATTTACTGGTTTTGAACTTGTAGTATTAAAAAGCCTACTTGTATAAATTGCTTCAGAATGTAATTTGTAAGACGGTAATGTTGATGTCGGTAAAATAAATTTATCAAAACCTCCACTCATTGACCATTTATTGATAATAGTAAATAATTGTTTAGATGTTGGTCTTTTTTTGGGATCAGCATCCCAACATTCCTTAATTAATCTAGCCATTATTTTTGGCACATCTGATGGAATTTCTGGACGTAAACCATGACAAATTTTTAATATAAGACCATTATCATGTGGAATATTATAATATGGTGGATAACCAGTTATTAATTCCCATGCTACAATACCAAAAGAGTATATATCTGATGCCATAGTATATTCTTCTCCACATAAAACTTCTGGCGCAACATAAGGTAAAACTCCAAAAATTTTTTCAATTTTTGATTTTGAATTTTGATTTTCTTGTTTGCATAAACCAAAATCTGAAATACTTAAAAATCCTTTCATAAGCAAAAGGTTTCCTGGATGAAAATCTTGATGAATTAAATTTTTCTCATGTAAATGATAAAGTCCTTTACTAATTGCCCATAATATCCGACCTTTTTCATATGGTTCCATATTATTGGCATTCATATATGCACGAAGACTACCTGATGTTGCATATTCCATTACTATCATATAATTATGTGTTTTAGAATCCTGAGTAATACCTAAACATTTAATAAAATGTGGATCATCAACTACTTGAATATTTAATTCTATTTCTTTCAAAAGATCAGAAATTGGATCTATTGAATTATTTATTGTTTTTAATGCTACACTCTGAAATCCTACACGAATCCACTTTTGATCAATTATATCCCAACCTCTAATTTGTCCATCTTTCCAAATTGCTGAATATACAGACCCAAATCCACCTTTTGTCATATATTTTACAAGGCGAAATCTATTAAATGGAATCCATTCAATAACTTTATATGGTCTATCTGCCGCAAGTTGTGAATTTTGAATAAAGTCATCTATTATAGTATTATTACTAGTCCAATTTTTAAAATTCTTTTGAAAACGGCTTGAATTACATAGTTGACACCACTTTATTGGCATAGTATAATCATATATTCCTGCACAAGGTTTATTACACTCATCACATACATCTATCCTTTCTGCTACTGTAGTACTAGCGGCAAATTCAACATCAAGATCCCAGTATTCACATTTTTCTACATCACAACCCCAATATAATTCATCATCCATATTCCAATCTGAGTTAAGATGATAGTTATATAAGTCTATTCTATTTGGAGCTATATGGCATTCAAAATAATCCAATCCAAACAAACTATATGGATATATTTCCAATGACTTTTCAAGAAATTAAAAGCTTCTTCATATTTTTTCATATTATAATAAGTTGATCCTTTGGTAACTAATGACTAGAGATGGGAAAAATGCGCATTTTATAATAACATGCGCATGAATGCGCATTAATGCGCACGAATTGTTTCATGCGCATGATATCGCATGATAAAAAAAAGACAAAAACGATCGAGAGGAGAGAAATTTTGATGGGATAAAATGCGCATGAAAGGATATCATGCGCATGAATGCGCATTAATGCGCATGATTTCTCAATCATGCGCACGCATGAAACCCATCTCTACTAATGACCATGCATCATTAGGATATTTTTTTAGTATTTTATTTGCATCTTCAAGTGCTTCTTCGTATTTCTTTAACATACGATAAATTTCTCCTCGACTTGCTAAAGTCTCAATATCATTTGGACTTATTGCTAATGATTTGTTCATGTCTTCAAGTGCTTCATCATATTTTTTTAACATTCGATAGACCTCACCTCGAAAATATAATACATATGCATTATTAAAGTCTATTTCTATTAGTTTGTTTAAAATTTCTAATGCTTTGTTACCATCTGCAACGGATTCATATTCATCATGTTTATTCATCCAACCTCTATATAAAAATGTTTTAAAGTCATTTGGACAATTTTTTAAAAATTTGTTGAAATTGTCAAGTGATTTTTCCATTTTATCCATTCTAAAATAAATTAATCCTTGATCAAATAGTGTAAATATACAGTATAATTTTGTTCTATTTCTTGTAATTTGTTTGCATCTGCAAACGATTCTTTGCATTTATACATTTTATGATAAGTTAGTCCACGATGTCTCAATGCTAATACATTATTTGGACTAATTCTTAATGATTCATTTAAATCTACAAGTGATTCTTCATATTTATGCAAAGTCCGATATATTGATCCTCTAATTCTTAACGCAAATGAATTATTTGGCTCAATTTTTAATATTAAGTTTAAATCATTAAGAGCTTCATTATTTTTACCCATCATATAAAAAGTTTCAGCACGAATATTCAAAGCATCTATGTTATTTGGTTCAATTTCTAATGATTTATTTAAATTTGTAAGCGCTTCATAATATTTCCCATTTTTAAGATAAATTTCACCATTGTCTCCTAATTCCCATTTATTACAGGGATTGATATCAAATGGGGTTTTGAA